CTAGACACCGGGGTTAAATCTAACAGAGATTCAGTACCATGTAACACATTATATCTGGTTTAGCTTTCATCATTAAGGCACACTGAATCTTGCTCCTCCATCAAATCCTCAATCACCTTTCCATTGTGATTAGTAAGCAATAAACCAGGTTAAAAACGCAAAGGTCCGTAGATGATGTCACGCCTCCTATGCTAGTTTATCCAGTCCTTAAAAGCCAAAAGGCTTACGCTATTTTATAATGTAGAATGTCGCAAAAAAATTGCAGAAGAAATGGCAATAAGGTTATAGAAAGAACAATGTTCTCCTGTAATTAAATGATGAAATCAAAGGTTGAATTTATAAATCTGAAGACTTAACATTGCCAATGTGATCCTACACCAAAAAAATGTAGCTTGATATTGATTAAGCTGCACCAGAAGAGCATATGGTCAGTCTTTAAGCACAAGCTGATCTGTTTATTGTTCTGTTTTCTTTTGGGCTGGAAAACAGAGCGAAGCATCCTTAAAATAATGGTCCAGACAGAGAAAGATTTCAGTGGAGCGTAAATAACATCTCTGCTGTTGAATCACAACCAAATGCTTCAGGGTTTTATGGAGCTTCACTGCAAGAAATGTGGATTTTACTGTTATCTTGAAATCTAGGTAGAAGTTCAGCTGAACCCAAAGGAGATATTGGAAGCATTACCACTGTCACACTCCTGAAGCTAGCATTTAATGATATCAACAACATTTGTTTATGTGTAGTTTCTCTGTATTTGAATGCTATTAACAAACAAGAAAACACTCATTACCATTGGAATACCAAAACCAAAGAATTGCTATGTTTCCATCTGCCAGGTCTTTCTTATGCATCTTTGAAAACTGCATTCCATATATTAGAAGATGCATATAAAGAAAATAAATTTTAATATTTGCAAAATAAAAAAAACCTGTTTTGATTTAAAGCAAACACATTTAATATTAACCTCAGAAATAAATCAAAAGCTTTAAACTTTTTGACTAGTATTTCAGAAATAACTGTCATGCTTTTGGCACTGATGACTGGCTAGATTACTCATTTTATTCTCCTGCCTTGCTCTGTCCAGTTTTTCATCACTGTTCATCTGTGTCACCTGCTCCAGTCTCTATTTAACCTGCTTGCTCCCAGTCATCAGTGCCAGATTATTCTTAAACCCTAAGTGAAAGTTCTCTAGCATACCTGTTTATGTTCTGATTACCTGATCTTGACCCGTTCTGCCCCTGGACCTCTGAGCCTACCTGTCCTTTTTCTGATCTGTTTGCCTGTCCTGTCTTCAGACTCCTGCTGGATTCTGCCTGTTAACCTAACCTGGAACTGATTCCAGGTTAGGTTAACAGATTAACAGAACTGATATCACCTCGGAAACTCATCGGCCCTCTGATCTTCTGGTTTTGAATCCTGAATAAGTCCTCGACATAGGCTTTGACTTTGCCCTCTGGATTATCCTGCCTTCATTTATCTGCTTGGATCTGATCTCCTGTCAGGTTTGTAGTCTTCAGGCTTCAGCATCTGAAACTCTCTGTGTGCCCTGAACTATAGTCGCGAACTGAACTATAAAACCTTGTGATTTCATAATCATCCTGCATCAGATAAATGTGGTCACTAATCTGTGTTTGCCTTCTGCAATAGGTTTCTGCCTTAGACGCCTTGGCAGCCGTTACCACAGATGCTCTGTTCTAAGGCGTTACAATTAACTATATAAGTGAAAACACAGATATAAAAATGTCTGAATCTCATCTAACTGACCAAAATTTTTAGGGATTAAGTTTAGAAGAACTAAAATAAATCATCAACTACTTTACAACTAAACTTTTAAAACACGTCCACTAGGTGTTACACCCCAGCACAAAAAGCTGCCCTTTTGATTACCAAAAGCCAAATTTCAAACCATTCAAACCAAATAATATGGCCTGTCTCCAATACTTCTACATAAAGATCACTTCAATTAAAGTTTTTCAGCATCTTCTAAAAATGGTTTGTTAGGGCAGGACTGTAAACACATGAACCAAAGAGTGGAAGCTTTTTGAAATCGCACCTCCAATTCCGTCATCCCTTGAGAGCTAGTTGACCTTTAAATAGATGAGGATATATCCCCTTAATCTCCCTCCCCATTAACAGAAGAGGTTTTTAAAATTATATACCTGAACATAATTTTCAGCTGGTAACTTCTTGTAGTGTGCTGTGCTGTGGCGTGTTTGCTTGGGTGGACAGAGTCCCTGGTTTGGACAACGTCATCATCACTGGTAAGCCTTGACAAACTTAATTTTTTTGAAAAACTCTACCACCTGCTCCCAACTCTCCCTCTTGTCTGGATTGCCAGTGGATTGCCAGTCCGAAAGTCTTCCTGGATCCAATCCAGGGCAGATTCATTTTTACAATTAACTGATTTATCATAATTCTCCATAATTCTCTGCGCAGACTTTAGAAGCCCTCCTATATGACCCGTGCTCAGATGTACTTTTCTATACAAAACCACACCTGGAACACACTCCGATTAATTGGCATTTTTTCAGACGGCAGGAACCCTGGAGCTAAGTTGCAGCTGCTTCAGATATGTGTGAGTCTGAATTTGTTTTACGGAAAGCTGAACTTTTAGTTAATTATCTCTTAGCTAGGATCTGTCTATTACTAAACCTTCAAAGCGGTGTGATCCTGTTGCATAGGACAACATGATCTCCACATGACGGCACAGCTTTTAGCTTTTTAGATTTGGTCCAGTGCATCTCCAAATAACAAAAATTAGCACACACAGCTACATGTTTTTGTTTTTAATTGGCTGCTCTCTAGCGCTTCATGTCTGTCACTTACAGCTGCAAATTCTTCATCCGAGCATAATAGAATACAAAATTAAAATGTATACGCCTAATAATAATAGGGAAGATAAAACAGCAACAGTGCTGTAAAGGAGAATGAGCATCTTTATAAGGCTGACAGGAACCTCATATACCATGACAGAGCTTTGTAGTGCTTTGATCCTTCTGAATAATAAACTCTAAACAGGATGAGCCTTTAATGCTGCAGCATTTTGCTGCTTGTTCCCGCAGCTCCTGCTCACATCTCAGTAATCCTCCAGAGCGCAAAGAAAAACAAAGGATAGGAGCTTATTTTGTCCAGAGGTCTGTCCTGAAAACAAGCTGCTGTGTTCTTACGGTAGACATAAAAAAAAAAAAAAGGACTCTGATTGGTTGACATTAAGATGTTGTGTTTGAGGTGGCACCCCATCTCGCTCCATTACAACGACTATCCTGGAGCTCATCAAAGCCGGAGGCTTCTAGGAAATATGAGTCTGCTAAAAGCTTTGTGGGCCGTCTCAGAGCCGCTGTCCACTCCACTGTGTAAATAAAGCTCCCTACCAGTCATTGTGTGTTTGTGTGTGTTTTGATTGGACAGTCTTACAGCTCCACCGATGTGTGTTTTTATGACTCAGGCTGTGTGTATTAGTGGTTGATGTGTAGCGGCACACGCTGCTTAGATGCAAAGTGTCCATGACAGCTTCGGATCGATGTTCTGATCCGTGTTATTCTCCTCCCGGGGGAGTCTTTATCCACGTGCTGCAGACACTCTGTCCTGTTCACTGAAACTCACCAATGGCTTTGCTTCTTTTAACAACATCCACTGGAAGTGAGCTTCAGCACTAAACAATGGGAAGGAAAAAGCATCTTCCACATACAGACTTAAATTTGATAAATCTAGTCCCATTCAAAGCCGCTGCTGCTGCTGATGTTCAAACCAGATCCATTATCAAGAGGGAGTGTGTAAACTGAGCATGGATATACAGGAACAAATGGGAAAGGCTTTTACACTCCTGGCCACCCTAATACAAGTGAGCAGGGAAAGGTATATGGCAAATTAAACAGCAAGTATATTTTCTACGAGTCAGGAAACAAAGCATGAAGCACGAATATTCCCCAATTCTCATCTCCATTGCTTTTCTGGAAGCAGGTCAGGCTTCTTACAATTTTCTTTTCTGAAACAAAACACCTGATGGAAGCAGATCTTAGAAACTGTGATGTTGGACAAAGAAAATCTAAGGAGTTCCTATGACAAGTGGCAAAAGTTGTCCAAGCACACTAAGCCGTGATTTAGCATTTTATTTCTTTGCTTACTTTGTTTTTGTGATTACTGCGTAAGATGTCTATACACCGATAAAGAAACAAGACCTAAATAACAATCAGTACAGAAAGTGTCTAAAAGCAAATTCCAAAGCTTTTGGACTCCAGTCAACCACAAGGAGAACCATTATACACTAATGGAGAAACACGGAACCTTGATTATCCTTCCCAGCAGCGGCCACCCTACAAAAATCACTTCAAGAGCTTATCGAGTATGCACTCAGCGCACCTAAAAAGAACAATATTTAGAATTCTGCAGGCCTTGCTAACTATCAGTAAAGGTTGAATTTCCTCTCTGCATTTTGCAGTTGACATGGTTCTGCTGGCTTCCCCCAGCAGAGCTGGAGGAGGAGGAAGGGGAGAGGGGAGCCTCTGCTGAAGCTCTTTCCCTCGTAACCCATTCCCAGATAAAGCAAGTGACGATGAGTATGAGGATTGTTCTTTTCTGGGTGCTTTATTGGGAAGATCAGCGATAATATAAGGGGACTGGGTTTTGATTGGCTTCTAGTGGAGGCTGAATTAAAACCACTGCTCTGTCATGATGATCACCTCTCTACACGCCTACGCCTGCTTTCACTCATTGCTAGTTTGTGTTAATTGGAGCCATTCAGTCTAGGGTTATACTTGAGCTCTGTATGATCTTGTAAGCATTGATTATGCAGTTTAAATGAACTGCTTCCAGAGTCCAGGCTGTTCTCTCCAATTTCCTTCTGTACCTTGGTTCTGGTTCTGCTGTAGGCTGTTTTTTGGCAAAGATACTCAGGCATATAATATATATTTTTTTTTTAGACACCTGCTGGATTGAGCTTGGGAGAATCTTTAGCATCTTGTCAACAGGGTTTTTGTCTTTTCTTGGTCACATGCACTGACCTGTCTCTGGTTCTCTGTCTCTAGTCTCAGGCGGGCTTCGATGCAGCGCCGGGTCTCGAGGAAGGCCTGCCGCTGAGCCCGGTCAGACAGGTAACTGATGAATATCCCAGCAGTGTTCATACACATGAAGAGCACAGCCTGAGCTGCGACCTGGAACACAGAAAAAAAAGCTCTGATAAAACTGCTCCTTTTCCCAAAAGGTTATTATCACACCTGATTTTTGATGTTCCGTTTATAAAATTAATTCTCAGGCTGGATCAATTTGCTGATTTATTTGATTTAAAAAATGTCAATAAATATTTGGTAGACATCTATTTAAGTTCATTTTTTTTTTTACAGTATACGTTTTTAAATGGGTTGAAATCTAGCTGTTCAGGTATATGAGTAAAACCTGCAGGAGAGAAACAAACCCACATGAGAGCAGCTCTAGACACCAGGAAAATGGGACAAAACATCAGTTAGTGGGATTTCCTGCCTCCTCAATGCTGTTTATCTGCAACAGACAGATTTAGGTTTGGTGATTATATCTCAGACATTGTAGAAATAATGTTCTAAAACATTGAAAAAATGTTCTCGGTCCATTTGCATCAAACAAAGTCTCCAGTGGAGGGAAGAATCTGGATCTGGAGTTACCTGTTAGGGTCACTTTTATCAGTTTTTCCAACAACTTTAAAGGAGTCACTAAACAAAAAAAAAAAACTATGTTTAAAAAAGTAGGAGAGAAAAGAAGAGGTCATCAGTGGCATCCATTAAAGTTCCTAAAGATAGTGGTATCCAACACAATTCTTAGAAGAGATAGCCCAACCAAAAATTCCAGAACATAATTTCAGTGATTTAACACGTACTCGGACAATGGGGCTCTCATCCGCATCCAGCCAGGGTGTGACCTGTCACATGCGCTGGGTTGGGTCCCTCAGCGTCTAGGCCCCTTTGGGGTAAGGCCCCTCCGGGATTGTGCTCCAGCTGCTTTCGCCCGCACTTCTCTGGTGGGTGCGGCCATCCCTATGTCTGCCCTGCATGTGTCCAAGTGATCTGGGCTGCTTCTGGATATCTGGGGCTTGTATTGGCTCTTTTTCTCCCTGGGGCCCTGTAGGGCATGTCGGAGGGCACCCACACCTGCTATTAAAACCCGCCCGATACTGGTATTGGTGCAACACTACTAAATACTAAGCAGCAGCTACAGATATATACCTCCCTGATTAATAATGTGTGTTCACCATAGGTTTTTACTCAGACACACATATATCTAAAGGATACCCATTGCTCCTTAATCTTTGTTTTATGATTATTTTGATTGTCTATTGTCTTCTTTTTGCTGTTATGCTCTCTATTTTCTGTTCCTCTCATCTAATAAAGGTATGGAGGCAGGCTTCTGGGAGTGACTGTATATATTCTATGTTGTCTTTTTTTCTGTTGTGTTTTTATTTACTCTTTTCATGCACCCTTCCCTGTTTCTATCTCTCTCTCTCTCCCCTTAGATCTTATCCCCTCTGTCTCTCCTACTTCGCTTTCTGTCTCCATGTCTCTTGTATACAATTTTACTCACTGAATCATTTTCAATAAAGTTTAATATACAGGTATCAAATGCTACCTTTTGGCAACAGTCATAATGGTCTGCTTGTGAAAGCGAAGCTGTTTAGCTATCAGCTAGCTGTGGAACATCTAGTCCTACAGCAATATTGGCAAAAAAAGGACACACACACCAAAATAAAGATATTTAAAACATACCAGGATGATTGCGACAGATAAAAAGGTAAAAAACAGATAAATATATGTAGCAGCTCACTGAAATTGGTGCTCTCATCACTTAAATCAATTAATAGCATGAATTTATGGAAGGAAATGGAAAAAGTTTTTAGGCCAAAAATAAACCTCTCACTTCTAATTATATACAGCAAAGAAAGACTGAAAAGCTTCATAAATTGATTTTGGAAGCTCATCTGGAAATCAGTATTAATGTACCATTTTGACACCTTAGCCTGTATCATTTTGAAATACCTGTTCAATAAATGAGAGGCTTTAGGATGTGCAGATTGTAGAGCGACCAATGCGAGACAATGATCAGTGCACCTCACTTTAGTTCAAAACAAGAATATTTTCTTTGGAAGAAATTGCTTCTGTTTTACAGTCATTTTGAGTGTTTTGCCAGGATGAGCCATGTTGTAGATGACCTGTATGAGTGCTAGAGCGATAACACCAAGTTTAACACACTAGATCCATCCTCACACCTGAGACCTTGGAACAATAACGATTCACATGACACCAGGGAAGGGGAAGGGCTAATTGGGCACCATCTGGACCTTTTCACCTATTGGTGTTTTCTCCTTTACTAACAGCGATTCAGAGATAAATGGCTGTGGTGAGTTATTTTGAGAAGCAGCAAAATTACACTGCGATGGAAGATATACGCTGACTACTTTACATTGTATCTAACAATAATTTCTCAAGTGTTGTTCCCTAAGAAACCGAAGATACAACCAGATGGAGAACCAGTGCTTCTATGTAATTCCTGATCCTTCGATTTTTCTGCCTTCCATACAGGGAGCCTCCCTAAACCTTTTCCATCTTCTCATTACCTCCACCAAACAGATTTCCATGACATTTTTACCAAAGGTGCACCTCATTTTAAGGAGACATCCAGTGATCATTGACAGATTCATCATCATCATATTCATCTGGACTCAAAAAAGTCCAAAAATATTATACTGAACACAAAAACACAGGAAAGGTGCGCTATGCCTCGTTCAAAGTCTCGATCTGCTGATAAAAGCAGAAAGCAGAGTGTGTGAAGAGGTTTAGAGCAGAACAAACACCAGAGGCTGCAGACACACACTGTGCCTTAATTATAAAAATAACAAAAGGTTTTTAAGGACATTTCTAGCAAAGGTGCACAACATGCCGAGGAACAATAAGATCATTTGTGAGATTTAGCTATTGGAGTAAGTCACTATATGGTGCAAAATTTGCTACTTGGCCAATTTTGGTAGCCAACTATACCTTGACATTATGCAGACGTTACGCTATGAAAGACCTTCAGCATCCCGCACCTGACTGATACCTTTGTGCCATTCGATCCTTTTTGCAAACTCTAGTTTAGCTAAATGATATTTGTGAGAAAATGACAGAAAGATAACACCAAGACATTTGACCTTCATCGCAGGTTCATCAGCCTGACTGTACCAAACGGCAGGTCTTAACTTAATGAGACTCAGTGCTGAAACTGAAACCAGAGTAAAGGTTTAACAAGGCTGTGAACAAATAAGCAACCAGACTGCTGCACATTTTATATCTCTCACTCATTGTTTTTTTTTTTTTTCCACTTGGGTTATACAGCATAAATGTTGCAATATTTACAGATTGTTTATTTTTAACACTTTCATTGTTTTACATCAGAAAATCCTGGCAATTTGACAGAGAATAATCACGCATAGTCAAAAAGCAGCTGGAAGAGCCGTTCCAGAGAACTCATCACTCTGATGTCAACATTAAATAAATAAAAAAACTCAGTGAGGGGGAGTCCTGCTTACTGTCAGCTCCGGTTTTACTTCACAATGACTCATCTGTCTTAGTTCCTTCACTCAAACATGAATTATTCAGGGACCTATGATGTATTTCTTATCTTAACGCACAAGCAGAATCTGGAAGCTGGTTTCCTCCGATTTGGTCTGCTTCTGTGAAGAATCAGTTGGATTGTTATTAGAAAATTTACTTAAGAGTGGAAAAAGCTTCCTATTCAAATTAAGGGATTGCAAATATAACTTTAAACATTTGTCCATTTGGCCCCCGGGTAAATTCACTGTGCCCCACCTAAAGAGGTAAAATCATAACCCTGCAATTCCACATGTTAATAAAAGTGTTAAGATCTAGTTAATAATGTAGGTCAGAAATGAGCCTGACGTCACATGCAAGCTTTCATCCTCCCTGACAAGATGACGAGCCAGGACGAGAACATCTGAAACCAGATCTGATGTGATCACGGAGCCAAGGAAATAAAAACAGGTCAGTGATTATCGTCAGATGAATGAGCACGGCTCCTGCATTTACACTCTCTAGCATATACCACCCACCGTCCTCTCTGCAAGACACAATAGAAAAATGCTGCTTGTCAAAAAATGTTTGACAACAAGTTTCTTCTTTCATCGAGGTTCAAAAAGATAATTGAGCTGAACATCTGCATCCTAAATCAGTGCTTTATTAGAACTGTCCAACTACCGGTGCTGCTGCCGCTTTGTTTAATGTGCTCTGCTAAAGTAACAGACAAACTCAGAATGAGAGATTGCTGCAAAGTAAACGTCTTGATGCAACCAAATTTGTTCCAAGTTTTGATTCAAAAGGAGAGATTGCTACAAAGTCAGTGTCATCTGGGTTTCCTTGGAACTGGGCTGTGCTGCTTAAAAACTAGCTTCATATTGAAATTTATGTGCCTGGATTTCAATCAGACAAGGGATCAATCTGGTGAGTGGTGCAATGCCTTGCAGCAGGGATTTGGGTTCGACCCGGCTCAGGCTTTTTCAGCATGGAGTTTGCATGTTCTCCCTGAGTATGCGTGGGTTCTCTCCGGGTACTCCAGCTTCCTCCCACAGTCCAAAAACATGACTGTTCGGTTAATTTGCTTCTCTACATTGTCTGTAGGTGTGAGTGTGTGCGTGAATGGTTGTTTGCCTCTGTGTTGCCCTGCGATGGACTGGCGACCTGTCCAGGGTGTACCCCGCCTCATGCACATAGACAGCTGGAGGTAGGCACCAGCACCCCTCCAGAAGCCACTTGGGATAAGCGTGATGGAAATAGATGGATGGATAGGGATCAATCTAAATAATCAGGGACGTACACAGATAGACACTAGGTGGTGCTAGAGCACCTGCCCTTTTCCTCTCTGGACACTTTTTACACTTTTAATCTTTGGACCAAAAAAAAAAACAGTTATGAATTTAAAAGCCTATCAAACCCAGAGTCTAGATTTTTGTAATTTTGCTCCACGAGACGTGAAGCACCGCCTCAATAGAGCCTTGCCTTGGTGAAGAGACAGCTAACCGTCCAGATAACTAAACAAGCATATTTACCTGCTTTACCAACCAGTTAGTTCATGGCATGTCTTTGATGGCCTCTATCAGGCGCCAAGGAACGGTTTAAATGCAACTCTTTGATTAATT